ACTCTTACTCTCTCTCTCGCTCTTTCTCGCTCTCTCTCTCTCTCTCTCTCTCTCTCTCTCTCTCTTTCTCTCTCTCTCTTTGTCTCTCTCTCTCTCTACCTTCGAACCTTTTTTACCCCTCTCCTCTATATCTCTCTGCCTCTCCCCCCCCTCTCTCTCTTGCACACACACACTTTCACACACACACACACACACACACACACACACACACACACATACACACACACACACACACACACACACACACACACTCACACACTCATATACATATACACACAAGCATCTATGATACAGGAACAGCATTGTTTCAATGTAAGAAAATCACATCATTATTGACTTTTGCATATATCCTTTTTTTTATTCTTTGTCATGTAATTGTTTTTCGCTTATCGTAATTGTTGAAAATCCTTGATATTGCGTCATTTACTCTAATTAAAAATCTTTAATAAAACCAACTACATGTACATTACATTATTACCCACCAAATCAAAGCAGAATTATTAAAAATAGGCTAAGAACAAAAATCTTTGTTGTCTTTCCTCATCTCAGCTGCTGGAAATTGATCCTGACGACATTCTTGATGACTATGACGATGACGACGATGATAGTCCTGTAACCCCTGGACAAGTCATGAAGCTGAATAAACGTGATGATGACGACGACGACGACGATGACGATGATGGCTTGAGATTGGCTCTGGGCAGAAGGATGAAGCATTCTCTAAGACAAGCGGGAGCTCAACCAACCAACTTGGGCAGGTCAGTGCGTCTTTAATACAATAATGGGTCTCTTTTAAGGACAAGCGGGCTAACCCAGATTTCGGGGATTTCCAGAAATCTTGTACACAATGCAAAAGCGAATGCCATCTTCATTTTCTGTTTTTTTTTACTCGAAATCTTTTGAACCTTTTACGTTAGATTGGCTTACCTTTTACATCTTCTGATTCTTATAAATGAAAGAGAAAACAGTGTTATATTATTTTACAAAATCAAATCGCAAAAAAACTGTTACCTGACGTTAAACTGGAAGAAAACCCCAACCCAAACCTCATATGGAGATAAAGAGTTATTTAACAATTTCATATTAGGCAAGGACGGGCATCAAGGTTTTTTTATATATACTATGTATACACAGTAACAGAATTAGAAACGAAGAACTATTTCCTATTTATACTTGTTCGTTCATATTTTTTTTAAAAATCGAAATGAAACAAAATGGTTCACCATGAGTTTCTCCTTACATATATATTTTTCAGAGCCCTCCGATATTTGCACGACGACCTTGACTTTGTCCGTGGCATTGAACCGGACGACCTTATGGAAAACCTTGCTGACTTCCGAGACCTTGACTTCGATGACGACGATGTAAGTGAACTGAATTCATTCAGGAGTGGCTAAAACGTTTTAAAACATAATACATTTTGAGTATTTCTTTGAAACAAAAAATTATCATTTCCACTGTTGTTACGTTGAAAGAACAAAGCTACGCTCAATACTGTTTTTCTTACAGAATTCCTTGGGGTTTTGTTTGTTTTTGGGCCTTGTCTTTACCTCCTGTTAAAAAATAAATAAATAAAACAGGCCCCAGAAAAACAAAAGCAAAGAAAAAACAAACAAACCAAAAACAACCATTTTTAAAAGTAAAAACTACCACAAACTGACAAAGTCGTTTTGATATTCAAATAGAAAAATATATAATATACATACGTTTACATACCAACGCACAAACCGCGACCTTTCCTCCCCTTCCCTTCCCTTCTATCTTCCAAACCACATAAACATAGAGGTTATCCCATTGCCCAAACACTAACAGTCCTACAACCAGTGCTATTTTATCTCTCTATCTGTGGGTGGTTGGCCTTCTTCTTTCCTATCAAACATCTATTTTCCATATCTCCCCTTGTTCTTTTTTATGTTTGTTACTCTCTTGTAACACCTCTAATCTTCTGGCGTTCATATAACCTTATGCAGTTGCGAGCGCCGTAAAACCTCTACTAAAACAAGCAATCCCTCTATCTCTCCCCAGGCCCACTCCCTGTTCTCCCGCCTGTCCCAGGCATCCCAGTTCCCGCCACCGTCACAGATGACCGGACAACTCATCTCCGGCATGGGTCACCTCATGAGAGGTATGGGGGTCAGTGGACTCGCTCAGCTCAACAAGACGGCCATCCAGGGGGCCATGATGTCTCTGCGGGACGTTGAGTTCGATGACGACCAGGTAAAAAGGAATGATAATAATAATAATAATAATAACAATAATAATAATAATAATAATAATAAAAAAATAATAAATAGTAGTAGTAGTAGTAATAATAATAATAATAATAATAACAATAATAATAATGATGATAATTATTATGATGATGATGATGATGATGATGATGATGATGATGATGATGATGATGATGATGATGATGATGATGATGATGATGATGATGATGATGATGATGATGATGATGTTGAGAAGGAGGAGGAGGAGGAGGAGGAGGAGGAGGAGGAGGAGGAGGAGGAGGAGGAGGAGGAGGAGGAGGAGGAGGAGGAGGAAGAAGAAGAAGAAGAAGAAGAAGAAGAAGAAGAAGAAGAAGAAGAAGAAGAAGAAGAAGAAGAAGAAGAAGAAGAAGAAGAAGAATTTACATGTAATACGGGTTTTTCTGTAACTTTTTTCAGGCAGAGGAAATCTTAGAGGATGTCTTCGATGACCTTGATGTAAGTAATAATTCTTATGCCGTCTGTGTATTATATTATGTGCGCGCGCGCGTGTGTGTGTGTGTGTGTGTGTGTGTGTGTGTGTGTGTGTGTTTGTGTGTTTGTATCTATGTGTGTGTGTGTGTGTGTGTGTGTTTGTGTGTTTGTATCTATGTGTGTGTGTGTGTGTGTGTGTGTGTGTTTGTGTGTATGTGTGGGTTGGCACGGTATGTGTATGAGCGTATGTGTGCACACGAGAAGAGCATTTCTTCCCCAAACTTTTTCCCCAATGACGTTCTTGGTATCAGACTTCGCAGCATCTCTCTACCATGATTTAGACAAACACGGTGAAAAAATGAGAAACAGTGGACAAAACACATAAATAAGATAACACCTGTACAAACGGCCACTCTTGCATATTTTTAACACTTTACAGTCACACAGCCAGCAGTACAAAACACCCCATCTGGTCACCCAGCCAGGAGAGCGACTGCAACGGACTTCTCGGGCCTGGCCCAGAACTGTACCAGTTGACCGGAACGGATATTTTTCACCTGTGATATTATTACGCAAAGTGACTGCAAAGTGTTGAACATTATAAACATCGTGTAAGACTGCCAGTAGTTTAATACAGCCAATACTCTCCTCCACAATAGGTCCGATAATAGTTACGTCAGAATATTCTCATTCAGTTACATCTCCTCTGCATGATTCACGTCGATTGATCTTTTTGGTACAGATCCAGAACTTTGGCGCCACAGATATTCGAAATCTGGGCAAGTTGAGCCGCGGTTTGAGCACAGACCGCCTGGAGACAATCCACGACTCCGTCATGAATGAAGTGCTGGATGACCTGGACGACCTTGACCTTACGGAAGCTCAAAGAAAGATAATCAATTACAAGGTTAGTAAAAAAAAAATCCACTACTGTTGTTGCTAATGCACACATCATTTTTTTTTCATGTAACTGCACATGCAGTTAGAATTATCATTATCATTGTTGTTGTTGCTTATTTTGTTAATATTATTATTGTTGTTGTTGTTGTTGTTGTTGTTGTTGTTGTTGTTGTTGTTGTTATCATTATCATTGGTTACTTTTTCGATATTGTTGTTGTCAAATAGTTATTTCATCTTTTGTTGGTAATTTTATTTGTTGTAACTGTTAGTGATCCAATAATCCAGACGTCTATTGTCTGTTCATTCACCATGAGAGTGGAACAAAATAACGTCTTTTTACCTGGTAGATTCTCACGATGAAGTAGGTTCATGAATGGGCAAGTAAATACAAAATGTGAAATAATATAAGTTTAACGATTCCTAATGTGGCAAACCCTGTCCCAAAATAAACGAATATCTCTGCTTTCACAGGCTAGGATGGCGGCAGGCAACAGGACCACGCCCCACTTCCTGGCAACTGACGACTTTGCAGAGGTGCTGAGTCTGGATGACCTCGACGACTTGACAGAAGATGAGGTCAAGGACACCATTGCTCACTCGGCCAAGGTCAACTGGAGGCTGCCTCAGGTAGGTCATTTTCCCCTCTTCTCAGTCGGGATTTGTGCGTGCGCGCGCGCGCGCGCGTGTGTGTGTGTGTGTGTGTGTGTGTGTTTGTGTGTGTGTGTGTGTGTGTGTGTGTGTGTGTGTGTGTGTGTGTGTGTGTGCGCGTGTGTGTGTGTGTGTGTGTGTGTGTGTGTGTGTGTGTGTTGACGCTGTTTTTTGTTTTATTTTTGGTGTTGTTCTTCTTTTTTTGTCGATTTCTCTTGACAATTCTGTTTTTTAAAAACTTATACAATGTTGTTTTGTTTTTTTCACTGTTGTTACTGTTGAAAATATATATTATGTCTGCCCTCCTTAAGTCTCTGCCTATAATTCTGTTTTTCCGTCAACCTATTAGTATTTTCTGCCACCTCACACTATCGTCTATTGTCTTTCTTCACCGCCACTTTTGCGTTTTTTCATCTCGTCCGTGCGCATACACAGATGTACACACATATATTACAAATGTATGTATTAGACCAGTTTCCTGTTTTTCACTTATTGCCTGACTCATAGCACTGATTATGTTGATTCTTCTTTCTTTGTATTGTATTGACAGTAAACAATATTATCAATACAAATGTAAAAAAAAGAACTTTTACAACAACAACAAAAACAACAACAAAAACAAATAGTAGTACTGCCCTAGTGCAAAATCAAATCCATTAAAAAAAAACAACATAACCCCTTTTCCGGCAAGCCTTCTTCATAATCCTCCCGAAAGCCCGAGGAAAATTCAGACGAGAAAACTAAAAGGTGAATCGAATGAACCCAAAATAAAATGTAGAGGCTACTTATTAAAATGGGACTTTTCCCACAGGCTGCAGCTCTTGCCATGAAGTATAAGATGGCGAACGGTGGCAAAAGACTCCGTCCTTCTGACCTGGCTATCATGGGTCACGTTGCCAGAGGTCTGCTGCCTGAGCACTTGGACGAGATGGCAGACTCCCAGGACGATGTCCTTGACCTTGTTGAGGAACTCAAGGACATCCAAGATGAGCTGACTTCTGCACAGGTAAGTAGGGTTTTATTCATTCATTCATTCATTCATTCATTCATTCATTCATTCATTCATTCATTCATTCATTCATTCATTCATTCTTTCATTCATTCATTCTTTCATTCATTCTTTTATTCATCTTTTACCCAGTGGGTTTCAATCCAACACTTTCCTCGTTGTGCAGCTGATTGACTTCTTTAGAGTGTGTCCAATCCATCACCACCGCCTTCTTCCCACCTCATCTCTGACTGGGCTCTGTCTTTTTCTGCTTAATACTTCCTCGTTGGTGACCCTGTCTGTCCATCTGATCCTCAGTAACTTCCTTAGACATTTGTTCAAACAACTTAAATAAAACTTACGCACACAGGTGCAAACGAAAACACAAACAAACACACATACATACCCCCCCCACCCACACACACATACATACATACTACTGCATAACATATTACTATTATATGAGCCTGTCATCGTGCCATCTCGTTGATAGTAACAACTGAACTCTTGTAATAAAACACATCGTCCCCCCTACCCCTCCACCCCCACTCCCGGCCACTCCTTTTACACAGATTGACGGAATGGTCAGTAAGTTTAACATGGTCAGTGACCTTGACAACAAGGAGGTCCTTATCGACGAGACTAAAGCATTGCAAGCCGCTCATGTACTAGCCTATCTGTGAGTATTGAAAACACAGTACCGCCAGCATCATTAAGGTAACAGCTTTACGCCAGGCGTTGTATACAACAACACTTTAAGGGCAATTGTGAGTATTAAGAACACGGTGCAATCAAGAAATTATTATGCACACACTCACGAGTACAGGGAAGAATGCAGGGATGCACATAATGAAACAACAAATGGATCCTTATAAAGTATGTAAAAACATACTGTCGTCGCAATGGCATTGTTTGTAAGGCACCCTGAAGCATCTGCCATCTGTTCAATGTAAAATTAAAATTAAAGTATATCCCCCCTCCCCCGCCTCCCTTCCTCCTTCCCCTTTGCCCCCCTTCTCTGCCCCCTGCCGTGTTATGGCCGCCGTGCTGTCCGGCGACAAATTGGGAATGAGACAGGAGTGGAGGGGTGGGGAGGGGGGAAGGGAGTAATTTGATTTTACCGTGTTCTCGGTGAAAAGTAGTTATTGGCCACGCTTTTTCCGGTCGAAATACAGTCGAAATTGTCTTAGAGACCGCACATTGTGGAGGAGAAAAGTAGTCGTCTCAGACAGGTGGACTTCATTCACATCTACAGTAAAAAAAAAAAATTTTAATCCCAACCCCCCAAAAAAAAACCCCCCCACACACCCCAAGGCAGGAAATTAGAAGTACATTTAGATGTATGTTCAGGTGATTATCGTATACAGGTGGCAGCCATAGTTAGAGCATTTTCGACTGAATTTACAATTGTTTTGGCCACGGATCGTACGCCTCATTTTCCATGTTTTCAATACTGTACGAGATGTAGTTGAGTTGAAACGTCACATCTCTACTGTGTGACTTCGAGAAAATTTTCTTTTTTCTTGCAGGTGTTTTTACGCTTCCATCGACACAATTTAGATAACACAGTAGGCGGGCATCGACTCCGAACTCACACGAAAATAAAGTTTTCTGCTTGTTCCAACGAAAAATCAATTCACCACACGACAGACGCAAGTTACGGCAAAGTTCAATCATTGACATGTTTGCTTTTTGGTGATAAATCTATACTTAAATGTTATAGTAAAAGAATGTTATTCAAAGAGCAGTATCTCTGAGCGATTCCACCTATCAATCTATTTATTTATTTATTCATTTATTTATTTATTTCAATATCATGGCCCTTCATAGTTTTTTTAAGATAGGGAGGAGAATAAGGAGTGAAACGGTAGATTAATTTATCATAATCTAGTTGACCTTACGCGTATAATCAATTTGTTTCTCAATCAAATCCTTTCCAGGAAACCCGACCATTTTGAAAAACTGGAGTTCTCTGACGCAGGCAAGATGGCGTTTGTGTCTCAGGTAGCTAAGATGTCCACCCGGAACATGCCTCGCACGCACATTCAGTTCCTGGCTCGCAAGATGCTTGATATGATCGAGGAGACAAGTAGCGCTGAATCAACCACGGTAATTTTATCAATAATAATAACAACAATAACAGCAGCAACAGCAACAACAAAAAAGATAATAACAATAATAGTAGTAGTAGTGATAATAATAATAATA